CTCCATCCCCTCCTGAAGACTGCTGGGATGCATGACATCATTTGCCTAGGCATGGAAAACAGGAAGTAACTGAAAAAAATTAAAAAGTAAAGTTTAAAACAAGTAAATATAATATACTTTCCTATCCATATACTAATGCTAGCATCAGAAGGATTAAACATCGTCCATGACGACTGACAGAGTGAAGCTCCATCCCTGAAGTCTGGACACATAATATAGTAATATCACTATATCTGTATAATATAGCACTAGATAGGCTCACCAGACCTTAACCTTTACTTTTTTGGGGGTATGCAAACAGAGAAAGTGTACTCAATAAAAATCACAGGTATGAATCACCTGAAGGAATGCCTCATGAAGGAATTTGCTCAAATTTACAGAAATGTGGAGTTACTGCATCAGGTTCAGGTGAATCTTGCAAAGCAAATGGAATTTTGTATCACAAATGGTAGAAAGCACATTGAGAATGTTACTGATTAATACTCCAATGAAATAAAGTGTTGAACAATTTATTGAAAATGTGCTTTTTTGCCTGTGTGTCCTGACTTTAGGGTCACCCTGTAGTATTAAAGCCTTGTCATTTTTTACACAACGGATTGTTCAAGATCTTCTGACCAGGGAGGATGGTCCCTGTGGAACTAGCCAAAATTCAATCTATGGCCAGTTGATGATGTTTGATTGTAAGAGTTATTAAGCAAACATGTAATACCTGCTCTGTGCAAGTTTTGCACAAAGGAACCTGTTCTGATGTCTCCTATTTGCACTATCGGCTCCTCCTCTTCCCCGAGTGCCCCCTTAGAAAACCACTTGCTATGGGGGCGCTTGTGCGGGCACAATCCCAAACCAGGCTGTGCGTATCTAGAGACACACAGTGTGGCTTGGGTCCATGCCCTGCACAGGTTTTACCTGAACAGCCTCAGGCACCAATAGCTCCCACTGCTACAGAGTCACCTGTTAGAAGGGAGAGAGGGGACAAGAGTTGCTGCAGACAGGCACAGCCCTGGATCACGATTGGGCTCCCGTAATTGTTTGGGGGGGGGGGGGTCTGAGAGGCGCAGCCTTAAAAAAAAACACAAAAAAAAAAAAAAACTTTCAATCTTATTGCAGAGAATTGCAGTGGTTGTAAACCTGACATGAAAAATTAACAAAGCAAATCCCTCTATAGTGTGTACTTGTCTCAGTCTAGAGCACGAAGTGTAAATTCTGTCTACTGCCGTGTTCTTTTGCTATCTGCATAAGTCACTTCAGACAAGTTTGCTTGACATCAAGAGGTAAAAAGGTGACAGGGCGGGACTCCAGCACACAACATGTGCTTGCCAACCTCCGCTCTGTTACAGTGTGAAGGGGGAGTGTCCATTCTCTTCAAACAGCTCCCAGAACAGGCCACCCTCTGCTTTCTGAAAGCTCAGACAAGCTTTATAAATTCTAGACTTTGAACAGCACTAGAGAAGACGCAGATAAACAGGTACAATTTATGAAAGAGGATTTGTTTTATCTGTGAGGCCAGTTACCTTTCACCTTTACAATCACTCTAAGGCTCTGAACATGACCTAAAACTGTCAGGAAAAATAGATATCTATATTCCTGTACCTCCCAAGATCTATGCAAACACAAAAAAAAAAATGCATTAATGGCTGTTAGTTTGCAATATAAAGTAAAAAAAAAAAAAAGTACAATTCAGCCAAACTTCAGAAAGGTTAGCACTGGGAAAGAATTTCTTCAAACTTTCCTCAGCCTAAAAGGCCCATGGCAGTGGCCTCACATACACTTTCCAGCGGTGGGAAAACACAGCCAGTTGCGGGTAAATGAGCCGACATCACATTGTTTTCTCCCACTCCCTCAGCAGAGTGCAGCATGAATTGTGCATGTTAATGAGGTTTATTCATGAATTGCCTATAGTCAGGTCTCAATGAGACATTCTACTCAAACTGGCCATTGTTCCCACACAAAACAGATTCCATTGATACAATGCAGGAGGAAGTGAACACATCATAAATCACCCTACGCAAAGAAGAGGACTACACACCAAACAAGTTTTCAATGGCAGCAGCCCCCTTTTTTTATAGTAGGATAGGGAGGGATTTTGCTAGCCATATGACATGAACATTTTTATCTGCTGTGATGTTTTTGTTTTCTATCTGAACACACTGCAAGAGAACGTCAGGCAGGACTGTCATTAAAGTGGTAGTAAACTCTCAATCTTGATTTTTACCTACAGGTAAGCTTCTGTTTGTAGAATGAATATCTTCTATATGTTCAGTTCTAGGGAGCAGCAGCCGGTGACATACCAAAGCCGTTCCCTTAGAGCTCTGTGCTGCAGCTGTGACATCATCAGGGCTCAGCCATTCAAGCAACCACAGCCTTGGTACATGGAAGGAAGACCATGTGAAGGTGGAAGCATCTGCAGCGGTGACAGTGTGCCGCTGGAGGACTTCATTCTTGTGTCAGTCTTTCAGAATGTGCTAGTGTGCAATGCATACTAGCACATTATGCCTTTACCCTGCAGGGGTGTTTTTGTTTTTTACCACTACTACCACTTTAAAATAAACTCACACTGATGTGTGATTGCTGGGTGTCTACAGACTTCTATCAGCTTGCTGGATATCCTATTCCAACTCTCCAAGCATAAATACAGCGTGTCAACATCTCCCCTACAACCTCCACTTTTCTGGGAACTCTCTCATTTTGTGCATCTATGCACATTTGTGCCCATTCAGCTTCAGCATTGGTGAGGTCAGGCATTAGATGGACAAGACCACCTGGCCCACCATCAGCATTCCAATTCATCCTAAAGGTGCTCTCTCAGGCAGAGGTTCTCTGTAGGCCACTGGAGCTCCTCTGCACGGTCTATCCCATAGGGTGGGTAGGTGGTTGGGAGTGTTACAGGGCACAGGCAGCACCCCTAAACCTAGACAACCCAATTGTCATTGGGAAAGACAAGGCAACAAAAGGTTTCTCTTTACGATACAGAAACAGCTTCTATCCTCCACAGGAGATAGTTCTCATCTTCCTGGTAGATTGCTTCAACAAGGCTAGATGTGATTTTAAATGCACACAATATAACAGGCTATTCCTTTTTATCCTTAACACTGCAAACCATTGATCCAGGGAGTGTCCACCTCACTCTGGGATGAGGAAGTAATGGTTTCCTGTTACAGCAAATTGAACCATACTTTTAAAAAGGATTTTTTTTTTTGCCTCTCATCAGCTGTGGTTTATTGTGTCAAATTTGCATGTTTTTTTTTTTTTTTTTTTTTTATTAAACTATCATTTGTTTGGGAGCAAAAAAAAAAAAAAAAAAAAAAACCACATGCCAGAGTTCAGTCTAACAATGCACTTAAAGTGTTACTAAAAAGGCAGAATTTGTATGTGTTTTACTCGCCTGCTCTGTGGAGTGGTATTTGCACAGAGTGGCCATGATCCTCTTCTCAGGTCCGCCACCAGCAATCTATTTTTGTCACCAAGCAGTTTGCTATGGGGACAATCGCTGCATGCTCACTCCCAACCTGTATCTACGGAGCCAGACGCCTTAGATACACAGCAGGACATAGCCCTGCCTCCCACACGTCCTCTTCGCGCACTTGATTGACAGCTGCAAAAGCCAATGGCTCCTGCTGCTGTTCGAGTCCTGTGTGAAGAGGAAGTGAAGGGAGAAGAGATACAGCCATGCACAGCGCTGATCTCTTCTCCCCTCTCACAGGGAAGGGGGGAGCACAAAGAAATTAAAAATGTTTTTTACCTTAATGCAAGCAATGCATTAAGGTAAAACACATTTTTAGGTTTAGTATCACTTTACCCATTCCTGGGGCGTCAGAAGCACTAAAAAACTCTGGGTTTGGATATGAAGCCCACCTCTCCTCACTTCAGGTTGCAGTGTTCGGGTCTGAGTGGTCAATTGCCAGGCTGAAGCTTCATCACATTGGGGAAGAGGGAATTAACCTTGGGTAAGCTGTAAGATTTTGTTGTGTTCTTTTAGGGGCGATTGTTTACACACCATGTCAACCTGTAAAACCTGAGTCGGGCGATAACCGTTGTACTCAGCAAAGTTAACCATTTTGAAGGAGATTACAGGATAACAAAAATGAAGGGGTGGAAAAAAGTCAATTTGGCCTCAAAGTATTGTATAGGATAGGAAAGTGTCAGAATCCCTATGAGGTTCTAACTGACATCCCAGAGATGCTCACCTTGCTGCAAAAAAGGACTCCCCACCTCTATACTCGTGTTGCTAGTGATCCCTTTGCAGCTCTGGCACCTGCATTAGAATGAGCAGTGAGTGGTAAGCCAAGTAGGTGGTGATGTCACTCTCCTAAGCAGTCAGTCGGGGGGATTTAATGCCCTTCATATAGGAATATAACGGATTGGGACTGAGGGGGCATAGTAAGGGATCACTTATAAAGCAAATGAGGAGGTAGCGCCCCTTAAGCCATGTCATTGCCACCTTTTTAAAAGGAATTCCCCTCAACATCTGGGTGATAATGGTTGCGCAAGACAGGAAGTGGAGAAAAACAAAAACCCATCCCTTCAACTGTCAAGATTTTGGCTTTCTCCCTACAAAAAAAAAAAAAAAAAAAATCTGTTGATACCTGTGCGTCTGTTGCAGATATTCCCTACTTGCAGTCTCATTAACACCAAAGTCCAGGACTGCAGTAAAATCCTGATAGAAGTTACAATGCTTTCCCACTGTGTACTAATACTAGTAATAACAGTACTAATAATAAATATAAACCTTCCAGCTGGACTTCCTATAACAAGCACCCCATCTACTCAATGTGAAGGTCCTGGTATGCACAGCACCCACTAATGGGCAGCACCCACAGCTTGTGGTATAGAATTTCTCCAAGTCTACACTGCCACCCAGTGGTCAATGAAGGTTTATTACAAACTTTATTTCTCATACAAACTTTACATATAAAAACATCAAATATAAACAATTCCATTTACAAATTTGCAGAATATAAAAAGCAGAGGCAACATGCATTAGGCAGGATCAAATCCTGTGTTTACACTTCATACGCAGAACAGGTCGTGCAGAAAACTTGCTCACCGAGGTCACCATCACTGGAATAAGGAAACAAGTTTTAGAGAATGATTGACAGTCATATGAGAGCACAACCAACATTTATGATATCGATTTATTTAACACCATCACTGCAAATTGAACATGTGAAACAAACATAGGTGGGGACTACAGATTAGACATGCATTAATATATTGTAGGACAACACATCCAAACAACTTGTACTGCAAAACCACACAGCAGAACGGAATTCCAGCTCTTTACAGGTCTTAAAACAGCACAGAAACGCCATATTGACATGAATTTGCAAGTTTGCCAAGTTGAACCCCAGCCAGGTATAAAAAAGGAGACATGCAGCTCTGTATTTATGAATACACCAATAAAAGGATTTTTTTTTGTACGGGGGGGGGGGGTCTCCCACACACCAGACTGAGTCAGACATGCTGTAGTGTTCATGCGCTAACAAGGAGCCTGTTGAGAGGAGGAGAGAGCACAGTGACGGGAGGTCAGGTTTCCAGCCATCAGGTGGGGTTGTGTTTTGTGGTAGATCTGTGAAAATCTCTGGATTCGATGGACTGAAACGAGATTCGACAAATAAAATCACACCCATATGTATGCATTTCATCTGTATTTCGAGGTGTCAGGAGTTCAGCTTTCAGGAGACAAATGTTACAGCTACAGTTCTCCAAACAAGCCACTCTAAAAAGGTGACCACACACTATACAATCTGATTGTATCATTGGGTAGTGAGCTGTGAAAATGTGGAATAGACTCCCTCACGAGTTGGTTCTGGGCAGCTCAGGAGATTGCTTAAAAAAAAAAAAAAACCTGGATTCTCTCTTGGATACACAGAATATAACTGGATACTAACATTTATAGGTAAAGTTGATCCAGGGAATATCCGATTGCCTCTTAGGGAATAGGGAAGGAATTTATTCCTCTGCAGCAGCAAATTGGATCATGCTTTGCTGGGATTTTTTTGCCTTCCTCTGGCACAACTGTGTGCCTAGGATTATAACTGTTTTTATGGCTAAACTGATGGACTTTTGTCTTTTTCAGCCAGACTAACTATAACTATGAAGGCCACTGCACTACAACGAATTGGCATGTTGTACAAACACAGTGAATGGTTTAAGGCTTGTCCCCATTCTGGCAAGTCTAAGGGTCACCATACACGTTGCATTCTGATTCTGACTGTAAAATCTTTGAACAACTTTAAAACTGTACCAAAACCATCTATTATGAGGACCTAGCCAATCTATCCTGTTCAGCTATTGCACTACATAGCTGTTGGCAGATCTAAAAGGAGATCATACAATCAGATTGTAACCTCCGATTTGCTGCCTGTATGTGAGATACAGCAATTCCAACTTGCTGTCCATGATGAAATGGCAAACATGAAATTCTGTGTGAAACTGGGCAAATTGCTGCATCTCCACAATGTTGATAACCACCTCCAGTCCAGTTGCTGTATATAAAAACGAAATTAAAGCCAGCAATGACAGTGCCAGTAAGTGAGGGAGCCTGGCTGTATATGCTGCTCCTTCCCTATAACACACACTACCTCCTCTGCACCCCCAACCCTCATGTGCAGTAAATCCAGCACCAACCCCCCCACCTCACCCAAATTCAGTATGCTTTTTTTTGCTTATTTACTGCGGTCAGTGGCAATCCCCGCTGACAGTAGAGAAGAGTCACTGGATGTTAGGATGCCGGCTCTTAACAACCAATGCAGAAACTGATGAAACTGTTTGTCCGTTTATCTTCGGTTACGTTCTTTTAACAAAACCAAAAAAAAAAATAAATATAGGACTTGGATCTTTAAACCGCCCCCCCCCCCCAAAAAAAACAAAAAAAAAAAAAAAAAACACCACAACCACATACTGATGTGGACAGATACAAATGTGAACAGATGCTCATCCTCTTACATCTGTTTTTCCATAGAGATGCATTAATATTAGTTTTTCATCTTTCGACGCATGGATGAAAAATAGACAAATGGCCCGCAAGTGTGAAAGGGGCCTAAGTGATCAATGGAGGAAAGAATGATGTTATCAGTCTGCTGTGGGCTGGAGGAAGCAATTTGCTCAATCTCCCAAGATGCTCCTCTCAGGCCTAGTCACTGAATGGGAGTTCAAAGACTGCTTTATAATGATAGCTAGCCTGTTCCTGTATATTCCGACATCCCAGGAATGTATTCTGGCAATCTTGCAGAGGTAAGCTGGAGTTTAGGTTCTTGCTAAGAATTGACTTAAAGCCCCAAAAAAAGTGTGAGACAGCCAGCCATCTGGCATTTTCAGGAGGTCAGTAACAGTGTTACTGTCAGCACAGGTTTTGCTACATAAAGAAATACAGGTGAGATAGAGGTAATAGGAAGAGATACTCACACAAGAACTGTGCAGAAGGAGCAAAGTACTGCTGAACAACAACTGCAAGATTTACTGCAACTTCTGCAAATGTACTGTTCACACTGTTTGCAGGCCTCTTTGTCTCCAACTGATCGTACACAGGACGAACAAGCCTTTGATGAGCCAGCGGGCACTGCTGCTTGGAGAGAAAGATCTCTGCAGTGCTTAAACTGGTTTTCATATGAAAAATGCAATAGCTACATATACAAAACATCCATTACAATATATATATAGTTTTTATTATTCATATCATAAAGACAATGAAATCCAGCTTATGCATGGATCTGTCCATAGGAAGAAGTCTTTCAAAGCACAGATAGAATTTAAAAAGGAGAATCTTATAATGCATAGGTTAGCTGTATTCACTGCTGTACTGCAAACCATTACATCTCCAACACAACCAACTAGGTTCACTCACTGCTCTGCCACATCCAAACCAACTCCAGGAACCACACAACAAAAAAAACCACACCACTTGCACTGCAAGGGTAAATGATTGTTAAATAGGGGATGAGGAATAAGATTTAATACCTCCCTTGCTCCAGCAGGCTCTGGCAATTTCCTCCACTCTGGGCAGGCCCTCACTGTCCTCATGAACAATGCAGGACTATCAGTCCTGCATCGTACTTCATGAGGTCATTGCATGACTGCTGAAACCTTCAAGAAGAGGCTCCAGGGGGCCATTCAAACAGATGGAGGGAGCCTGCTGCAGTTAGGTATAAATTACTACTTTTATTTTTCTATAGTTAAGTAGCTTCCTGGCGTAGTTCTGCAGACAGTGGTCATCTCCTACACGCTGACCTGCATCCTGCATGGCACCCACATTCTGCTGATCACTGGTGCAATGCTTTCCATAAAAAAAAAAAAAAAAAAAAAATATATATATATATATATATATATATATATATATATATATATATATATATATATATATATATATATATTTTTTACCTGTGCAATTTTTTTAAAAAAGGTGAACTGAGCGTTTAAAAAATAACGGCCAACGTGTGTACATATGCTGATGTGTTTTAAATGCACAGGTGCAAAAGGGTTCATAAACAATCATCTTTAAAGAAGAACTCTGTCAACAACTGATGGGAAAAAACTGAATTTGAAAAATCGACATAAAAAAATGTTACTTGGGGTCAAATCATCTTTTAAAAGCGGAAAAAAAAAAAATTGATTGAAACTGACATGCAGATCTTACTTGCAAAGACATCAGTTTTCTGCACGTATTGTGTAAATGAGGCCTTAGTCAGTTAATTCTGTAGTTGCCAGGATGCTGCACATGTGATCAGTTATGACTTCGGCCATTTGATGGTTTGACAGTTTGGTTGAAAGCACATGCAATATGACAGTTACTATTCACAGCGTGCCACAAATGCAACTGTCTCCTTGGCTGAAAGGACAGGAGGGTTTAGTTCCACTGAATTTACTCATAACTTGATAAAAAAAAAAAAAATGGTTCTTTAGCAAGGCACATGCATTCCACATTAATTATGTTACCAAAATGAGTGCGTGCTGTGAACGGCCTCCAGCATTGCTCCTCCTCCTTGCAGGAGGCTGCCATTTTGTTGAAGCTCAGAGTCCCTGAGCAGCAGTTTAAGCAGAACTAAACACTTTCCTTTTTAGTCCAGGAAGTTGCCATCTGTTTGATCTGCAACTGCCATGGTGCTGCACATGTGATCAGTTATGACAGCAGTCATTTGATGGGTTGACAGTTTGGGTAAAAATACAACCAAATGTGACAGTTGGCATTCCTGGCATCCCAGGAAAGTAACCATTTTAAAAAACAAATTGATGTGTTTAGTTCCACTTCAATCTTTAGACTGTCAGCAGATTGGCCTCTACAAATTCAGCACAGTGCCTAAAAATGGAGAGCAACTGAGCATGAACAGAGCGAGGACTGTATTACTGGATTTTAAACCGTATAGGCACTTTAATATTCTACATAGCTATACCTGCAAAGGTGGCCAGCCTAAAGTGATCTAGTAAGACGTAATTTTCTGACTAAAGTTCCACTTTAAGTTGATGGAACATAGCTCTTCAGACCCATACTCCAGTCAACTTCGACAGTCATCAGTGGCTGCCCGAGGACCCCCATTTATCTGATGAAAAGACACAAACATCCATCAAAGCTGACAGAAGATTTTAAAGTGCAGCCTAACAAGTTGCACAGATTAAGTCAAAGAGGCTGCATAAGGCACTAGTTTCTTTGGGTGTTCTACCAAACCTGGATTAATTTAAAATCAAATTATATAAAAAAAACACCACTTGTTGCCAAATCACAACTAGGGATTCTCTTATGTACAGGACAGAGAATTAGACTTGCAACCTTTTTAAATTCGCTGAAATGCCCACACCTTTACATATCAACCTCTCTTTAGTCTACCTATGCTAAAACATGAACAGACTTATTTAAATAAACTGTTTCAGATCCTGTGCGCCACCAAGTTTATTACCCACAGCAGTCACTCAAGATGCCTTTTACAATGCTCAGACTACAGTAAAAGGACTTCTAATAGGCTTTGGTGGGTACCAGTACTAAGAATTATGGTATGATTAGAAGTCTGAAAGATAAAGTCACATCATTGTGAAATACTATGGCATGCAAGCAAAAGTTCTGAAAATGGGAGGGAAAACAAAAAAAAAAAAAAAAAAAAAAAAAAAAAAAAAAAACCACACAAAAGCGCACAGTGATAAGTCTGTACCAGTTATAAAAAAAGGTCCTAAATACCGCTGTTGCAGCATTTTTTCCTACACATTTATACCAAAGAAAATAAGTCAATTGCAGTGGACACTATGGAGTTTCACTAGCTCATATATTCAGAATGTTTCTGGAGAGGAATTGTATCCATGAACAGTTCTAATTCAGGAGGTTTCTGGAGATGAATTTTATCCATGGATGTGTAAAAATACTGAATGTACCACATTCCAGCATAGTAAGTATTCCCAAATTCGCTACATGAAAGTCACTGATACAACCAACAGGGATGCATCTTTTCTGCTGCACTTGTCCCGGAGTCTATGAATGACAACTGGTGCATTGGAACATACACCGTATAAATATAAAAGTCTAAAAAGTTTTTTAAGAGCAGTTTCTTTCTTGGGGTAAAATTGTTAAGGGACAGATGAGGACAAGTTCTATATTGCACCAAATAGAGCAGAACGGAACAGTAAATCATTTGATCAACTTTTAAGTCCTCCAAGACATTGCATTCTTTGGAAAGTGGAGCACAGAAGGCCAGAGGTCATTGTGATGGAACACCTTATCTTCTGATGGGTTCTCAAGAATGCACTGAAGTATAGAATTAAGTGCAAGAAGCTGCTTGCACTCATACACAGCACATTCATCCAACCAACTGAGCACACCAGGCTTAGAACATCCATCATTACACGTCATTTCAGTTGATCAAACATAGGAGCCATCACTTCAATTGCAATGCCATACTTAATGTTCCCAGTGATCCTTACATGTATGAGAGGCTCTGTGCAGCCTTCCGTCTTGTCCAATTGTAGTTTGCCCGGTCAGTAGCTCAGGTGGAGTATTATCCATTTCTACATTATTCTTATTTTGGTTGGACTGGTTCCCCATAATTGATTTTGCGCCACTGAACAAGAGCTTCTTTGTTCTCTCTAAAAAGAGAAAAGAAAAAAAAAAAATCAATATCATATCCTGCAAGTTCCAGTTTGTGATAAAGACTACCTAGAGAATATAAGACATCTGTGGCTCAAAAATGATAAATGACAGAAGTAGCCGTATTCATTAACCCTTTTACAGTAGAAGCGCCACAGGGGACATTCAGAATGTCACCATTAATAAGGACCTGGAAAATAAAAAGGAGCAAAGTGCCACCTTCCTTTAGTGATCTTATTTTTGCATTTAAAATTCACAAGGTTTCGTTAAAGCGGGACATTCCTCATAACAGTTTAACAATTAAAGTTCCTTAACGAAAACATTCCAGATTAATAATTATGATACAAAAATTAGGGTGCACTGTGCCTCCAGCAGTTCCCGTTTCTTCCTGCTAGATGCCGCTAGCCCAGAGCCATCATTTCCTTGGTGAGAACTCTCCCGCTCTCCTTGGTCTCAAATTATAGGTCACTTTCTCCAATTAAAATATACACATTTCCAGCCCTGAATGTATGTCTTGGACAAATCAGAGAGGAAGGCTGACAAAAGCTTTACAGTGCTAAAGTTTACAGGCTGCCAATGAGGATGAAAAGAGAATATCAGGGAGAGGATAAGATCCCATCTTTGTAAGTTTAATTCGTATGTCTCCCAGGCAGCAGAGTTTTGTCCTGTTACCTCTCCTGTTCTTTTCTCTCCCCAATTTGTGTTCCCAGAGGGCACAGGCTGTACCATCCCTGTTGCTTTCTTCCCCTTTTCTCAACAGTAGATCATAAAGCTGTCAGCTTCGATCTCTAGTGGCTCTGATTTTAGGCAGTGTGTTGAGAATAGACAGCAAATGAGCATGTACAGAACAGGGCAAGTACATTTCTGGATTTTATCTAGTATAGGCACTTATTTTTTATGTTTTACACAGCTATACGGGCCAGCCTGAAGTGATCTAGAAGTATTTAAAGGTATGGGTTTGGGGAAAAAACCTACATACTCATCTAGGTGGATGCAACATTGATCTGTTGCTGCATCTTTCCCCCACCGTCTCTAAGACCCAGAACTGTGTGGTCAAAGACCGCTGATTGCTCAGTTCTCAGTCTTTGGTGAACCGGTGATTGTCAGTTACTGGCTCTCTGCTCCCCGAGCACTGGGCTGTGGATGGATGTGGCAAGTTTTAGCCAGCTGCCAGTCGGGCATATTGACATTCAAGTCAGGATCTCTCCAGACTCTGATATCTGCCGACGGGGGGGCTTTAGCCCGTTGTCGGCTGAATACAGTCACAGAAATGCATTCTGGTGACCTATGAGAGATGTAGGGCCCAAGGAAAAAAAAAAAAAACCACACAAAAACAAAAAACTAAACTTGCCCTTCAACATCCTCTGCCCAGCTTGTTCTACATGCCACTATGCAGAAGTCTTCATTGGCTGGCCAAGGATGAAGTCACTCCTGCGCAGTTCAGTCATCTAGCACACAGGATATGTACCAGAATGTAAACTGAGCAGCGCTTGCTGGATTAAGTGTACATTCCAAAGACAACCATGAGAAGGCAGGTAGGTTTCTCTTACTGCAGAAGGAAACATTACATGATGTAATCAAAAGGGGCGAGGATATGCGTGACATCATTGATCTAAAAAGGCCATATGTCAAGAGCCTCCCTGCCCCCTTTTACATCAGCTGCAGGACAGGGAATCCCAATATGATCATATGGCCCTAATGATATTGTGAGCTTCCCTCGCCCCTTTGCGCACATCAGCAGCAGGAGTGGGAAATCTCCCTTTAATAGCTCATTGGCCAAAGAATGACAGTGGACTTTTGCATTCCAAGCAAACAAGATGATCCCTCGTCGTCACTGACTGACATGTACAGCACTCTGTACTTCATGCCAGCACATCTCTACATGTATTGATGCGTCTCATGATGCATTTACATGCACAAGGCTTTAGGGAGAACTCCCCCATTTTGGATAGTGTAAGGGAGGGTTATAACCCGCCAGATTTTATTTTGCCATCTGTTCCCATTGGAGAGATTTCCTCTCACTTCCTGTTCCAGTCACAACAGGAAGTGGGAGAAAATCCTGCCAAAGTGAGGGGATCCCTGGTAATCACGTGCCCCACAATGGAAAATCTCCCCTCTATTTCTGTTCTGGTGACAACCTAAAATTTGAGGTTTCCTTTAATTTCCCTCTAGATCAAAGTGAACAGGACAAACAGAGGGTGAATCTCTCCAATGGAGGCACAGACACCAATAACTGAGAGGTGTTCTAATCTCTCACCACTATCCAAAATACACATTATATAAACAGTTTTCTTTTCAAATAATAAATGTTTGCCTTTACACTTTAATGCACATGGCCAACGAGGCATTAGAAGTGGTGGCTCTGCATGAGCACTCCGACGTATGCTCTGATAGCACACCAGTGGGCATGTGTGTGCTTTATGCAACCCGCCTCTTCTAATTCCGGTTGTATGCACAATGTACATTGGGCAGGCTCTGTACACGTCCTCTCTGGGGTCTATTCATACAGGGCACTTTTAGGCCTCAAACACACTTAAAGTGCAGCTTTTACAGGTGTTGAGGTTTTTTTTTTTTTTCAGCCTCCAAACATTCCCCCATGTTAAACTATGTGTCCAAACACTATAGGAATTTATAGCAGTTTAGAGGCAGAAATAGAAACCCAACAAAGTTTGTTCAGGAGAAGCTTTTGAGCATTAAAAACACCCGACACGCCTGAACGTGGGTAAACGCATCTAAACATGCCTATGTGCTAGGCGTGTTTAGCACACACGCTTCATTTCAGTGGTCTAAATAAATATTCTGGCCAGTGAAATAAACACCCAAGCACTTGACACACCTAAACGTGTTTATCCTCTGTGTCTTAACATGACGGAGGAGTGTGGGCTCCTGAATGAGTTTGGTGACTCGCATGTCATTAGAACAGAGCAGCTGTGTCCAGGTACGTGTTCCAATAGAAATGAATGGGACACGGCACAGGGATACACAGCACCTGTACTGGGACAACATGGCAGTAAAGCATCTTGTGTGAACGGACCTGATATGGTTACCAGTTAAGGACCGTCTGCAATGAACGGTAAACAGGCAGCTCATGCTGGCAAAGCAACGTACTGATAAGTCGTTGCCTGCACCCAGGTTTAGGACACGTGACTGCTGACACAACGGGAGCCTGTCAGCAAGTCCATGTCAATGATTCATGGCCAGAATATGCTGATTGGCTGCCTACAACACGGATCAACAAATCCCAGGCAGGTTGCCTCTCTCCCGCACCACAGAGCAGAGCCCAGCTTCCCCCTTCCTCACCTTGCACACCGCTCCTGGGCAAAGAACCCCTCCACAAGAGTTTGCCCCCCCCCGAAGGACACATTAGGCTGGCCCCCACCACACCCCCCTCGAATGGCCTATGAAGTGGAAGGCACGGCCCCCAGCACCAGGCACACTATTCACACCACTCATGAGGCCATGCATGGATAAGTGCTCAGAGAGCAACTGGCCACAGTCCTACACATTGGAGGCAGTCAATGCCACCTTCAACGCAACGGTGGTGGTCACCGACACATGCAGCTCTCCCCCCCCCCCCCGAGCAACACCACATGCAGACCGGAGTCACCAGGGCCACCAATGAGACCACAGGCAGTCCCTCCAGCTTGAGGCCAACCACTCCCATACCAATCACAACAGGACTCAGCAGACAGGCTCAGCTACCCCTCCTGGCATCAGACCCTCTCCACTCACCATCTGGAGGAGCCGCTATGGGATAGGCAAGAGCTGGGAGGACTAGTGCTTCCCAAGGTATGACAACACCCCCCACATGTCCAGCTGCCCCCCCCATTGGCTCTGAGATTTAAAGCAAATTTGTCAAGCCCTGGTGTAATATCACAGCTCTGTGTTGACAAACAACACAGATCTCTGTACAGAGAACAATCTGTTTATCATCTCTGCAAAGCAAGGATGAGAAACAGATCTAGCAGTAAAAGCAGCACGCTTCACCCATTGTAGGCACACATGTAACCCCTTGCTGGTCCTAGACATTAACCCTTTCCCATCCAGTGTGATTAGTACATTGACAGTGTATAGCATTAGCACGGATCACCACTTCCCGGTGTCAGATTGCTCGCCGCACTATCGCAGTCCCATCATAAGCTGCTGATCACCGCCTCTAGTAGTATAAAGAGGAAAAAAACAAATATTCCAGTATATCCCATAGTTTGCAGACGCTAGAACTTCCACACAAACCAATCCATAAACAATTACCGGGATTATTATTTTGTCGTTAACCAGAGACACGTAGCAGAATACATTCCGGCCAAAAGTTATGAAGAAATTTGATTTCTTTATTGGAGAGGTTTTAAAGCAGAAAGTAAAAAATATTTTTTTTCCCCAAAACGTTAAGTCATTTTTAGCTTGTATAATAAACCCCCCCAGAGAAGATCAAATGCCACCAAAACAAAGCACTATTCGTGTGAAAAATTAAAAAAAAACCACAAAGACAAAAATGTAATTTGTGCAGTGCTGCATGACCGAGCAATTGCCAGTTAAAGAAGCACAGTGCTGAATAGCAAAAATGGTCATATAGTGGGGGTGTAAAACCTTCCAGGGGTGAAGGGATTATTCAAATAACTAGAAGAAAAAAAATGAAGTGTGTGGTTTTGTAGGCATGTAAATGGAGCGCTCAGGTAATACATGGGCCTGTACACACAGCTGTGACTACATAGGACACCATGCACTGCCATTAGTACAGAGGTACCAGCGAGACGCAGCACCCCGTCATATACAGACAAGACCCTCCACCCCATACACACGGGGCCCTACAGGCCCCTGGCTCCTCCCAGCCCGCTCCATACACACGGGGCCCTACAGGCCCCTGGCTCCTCCCAGCCCGCTCCATACACACGGGGCCCTACAGGCCCCTGGCTCCTCCCAGCCCGCTCCATACACACGGGGCCCTACAGGCCCCTGGCTCCTCCCAGCCCGCTCCATACACACAGGCTCTACAGGCCCCTGGCTCCTCCCAGCCCGCTCCATACACACACAGGCCCTACAGGCCCTTGGCTCCTCCCAGCCCGCTCCATACACACGGGCCCTACAGGCCCCTGGCTCCTCCCAGCCCGCTCCATACACACAGGCCCTACAGGCCCTTGGCTCCTCCCAGCCCGCTCCATACACACGGGGCCCTACAGGCCCCTGGCTCCTCCCAGCCCGCTCCATACACACGGGCCCTACAGGCCCTTGGCTCCTCCCAGCCCGCTCCATACACACGGAGCCCTATAGGCCCCTGGCTCCTCCCAGCCCACTCACACTCCAATCACATGGCCGATCTGCTGTGCCCCTCCACTCCATACACACGGAGCCCTACAGGCCCCTGGCTCCTCCCAGCCCACTCCATACACACGGAGCCCTACAGGCCCCTGGCTCCTCCCAGCCCACTCCATACACAAGGAGCCCTACAGGCCCCTGGCTCCTCCCAGCCCACTCACACTCCAATCACATGGCCGATCTGCTGTGCTCTGTGATGGGAAGGCCTCCACATGACACACAGGAGATGGTGGAGGTCACACAGGTATGGGCTCCTCTGTATATACACTCTACATCCGGGCACCGCTGTGGAGAACCACAAGTCCCAGGCCTGCGCTCCCTCACCGAATATCTCCCTCTTCAGGCTCTCCCCGCACACGCCCTGGCTAAGCTCCTTCTGCCCGATGCGGGTCTTCATCTGTGGCGGGGCAAAGCTGTCGAACGGGTAAGAACGCTTCGGCATAATGAGAGAACGCACCACCGCAGACACCTGACAGGAAAAGGAAACGCGCCAAATCCGCACAGCATGCCGCGCCTGCGCCAACCCCAGCCTATCAAAGGCTACCAAAGGACAGGACCTCCCCCTTCCACCAATCACAGAGCTCTTGTGGATCAGCCTTAGAAATGGATTAGCTGGCGCGCCGGGGGCGGGGTTTGACGGCATACACGTGTGTTGGCAGTCAGTGTTTACTGTGTAGAGAATTGTAGTGCGATCTTGTGCTATGCGCTGTGCTGCGGTTTTTTTTTGTTTAGGCCGGACCTGTGTGAGCTCACTTCCTCTTCAGTCCATGGTGGTGCTGTGTGGGGAGGAGAGTCCTCTGTGTGTGGTGGGGAGAATATTGTATATTGCAGGACTTGTCTGCCCTCAGCAGCATCATTCTGGTCCTGATGATGGCCATTCTGAGGAGGAGGACGAGGCAGAGACTTCTGGGTTCAGCCTCAATTGATTGTATGGAAAAGAAGATGGAAGTCCTGGACGTCGTACCAGGATCTGCAGGCCATCCCAAAGAGTTCTTCAACTTTATCAGAATGTCTGTGGAAAGTGAGAGTGTCACAATGTGCAGCTGGCCCTTTAAGAGATTTAGGGGCGGTACAGGGGCTTCCCAGTCATGTGATTGGCTACCACAGTGATCACATGTTCCGGAGCCCCCATTGTAAACAGTGACCAGGAGCTGTCAGTGATGGAGGGGGTGAGTGAACACCCTGCCAGCAATACAAGGGGCCCTGGCTGGACATATGCACACAGATCAACCACATCACCACCACCTGCCATAACATGACCACCTATCATACCATCACCACCCGCCATAACATGACCACCCATCATACCATCACCACCCGCCATAACATGACCTCCTATCATACCATCACCACCCACCATAACATGACCACCCATCATACCATACCATCACCACCCACCATAACATGACCACCCATCATACCATCACCACCCATCATAACATGACCATCTATCATACCATCACCACCCATCATAACATGACCATCTATCATACCATCACCACCCGCCATAACATGACCATCTATCATACCATCACCACCCGCCATAACATGACCTCCTATCATACCATCACCACCTGCCATAACATGACCTCCTATCATACCATCACCACCCACCATAACATGACCACCCATCATACCATACCATCACCACCCACCATAAACATGACCACCCATCATACCATCACCACCCATCATAACATGACCCATCTATCATAACCATCACCACCCACCATAACATGACCACCCATCATACCATACCATCACCACCCACCATAACATGACCACCCATCATACCATCACCCACCCATCATAACATGACCATCTATCATACCATCACCACCCATCATAAACATGACCATCTATCATACCATCACCACCCGCCATAACATGACCATCTATCATACCATCACCACCCGCCATAACATGACCTCCTATCATACCATCACCACCTGCCATAACATGACCTCCTATCATACCATCACCACCCACCATAACATGACCACCCATCATACCATACCATCACCACCCACCATAACATGACCACCCATCATACCATCACCACCCATCATAACATGACCATCTATCATACCATCACCACCCACCATAACATGACCACCCATCATACCATACCATCACCACCCACCATAACATGACCACCCATCATACCATCACCACCCATCATAACATGACCATCTATCATACCATCACCACCCATCATAACATGACCATCTATCATACCATCACCACCACCCGCCATAACATGACCATCATACCATCACCACCCGCCATAACATGACCTCCTATCATACCATCACCACCTGCCATAACATGACCTCCTATCATACCATCACCACCCACCATAACATGACCACCCATCATACCATACCATCACCACCCACCATAACATGACCACCCATCATACCATCACCACCCCATCATAACATGACCATCTATCATACCATCACCACCCATCATAACATGACCATCTATCATACCATCACCACCCGCCATAACATGACCATCTATCATACCATCACCACCCGCCATAACATGACCTCCTATCATACCATCACCACCTGCCATAACATGACCTCCTATCATACCATCACCACCCACCATAACATGACCACCCATCATACCATACCATCACCACGCACCATAACATGACCACCCATCATACCATCACCACCCGCCATAACATGACCTCCTATCATACCATCACCACCCACCATAACATGACCACCTATCATACGATCACCACCATAACATGACCACCTATCATACCATCACCACCATAACATGACCACCTATCATACCATCACCACCCATCATAACATGACCAGCCACCATACCATCACCACCCGCCATAACATGACCACCTATCATACCATCACCACCCACCATAACATGACCACCTATCATACGATCACCACCATAACATGACCACCTATCATACCATCACCACCATAACATGACCACCCATCATACCATCACCACCACCCACCATAACATGACCATCTATCATAAATTGTATAACTCAAGTGCTAACTATGGTGAAATGAAAAAAAAATAATAATTAAATACTGTAGCCGCTAGTGCACACAACCCATGTCTCAGTGGGGCAAATTATACAATCATAGTGTGAAGTGAAAAAATGCTGTGCTACATGAAACTGGCACAAATACAAAGTGAAAAAAAAAAATATATATATATCAGAAGAAAAAAATAGTAGAAAAATATTGATATTGAAATAAAAGTATATATATATATATATAACAATATATATATCTAAAAAACAAAAACCAAATAAAGAATATTTTTAAGTATGAATCAAACAAAAGACATTCAAAAACTCAAGTTCAATCAATAAAGTGTTCATTCAGTGAACCCTCATTTGGATAACAAAAAATATGTGCATCTGTCATCAATTCCTGTGCAAAGACATCCTCCACCATATATCTGCTCCCCTCACGCTGTGTGACCTCACATTATACAATGTTACGGTCTAACTGCACTTTTTGTCCCATATGGACTCAGAAGATCAGCTTGCTGAATGAAGACTCCACAGTAAGCTCCCTCCTGATAAGTGTCTTTGTATCAGCCGTATTCCTCATTAAAAAGAACTCAACATAGTGCTTTATCCTTTTAAACTTTTATACATCAATTAAACATAAGAAATGCACTCACGTTCCGGAGGTGTATTTTTCACCAGGTATGATGAAGATCCCGTGATGCACTGATTAAACACAAGAGGGCAGTATCATCTCAGCAGCAGAGTCCTGTACATGCTCAAAACAGACACCATCCGTATTGTAATGCAAGGCAAAGCACGGGCCCACTTAGTAAATGCTATTGCCTGCTATAATGCCGTTCAAAGAGCTGTTTGTAGAGTACTACAAGCCACTATCCCAATGAATGGCAACGTTGTGATGTGATCCACACACTCCTCTCCGACGCATTTCATCACTATTCACGTGACTTTATCAAGGGGATATGATTGGACCGTCCGGCAATCATTCAATGTATATATTAAACCGGCGCCATTTTGTTGTGGACCGGCCTAGCACATGGTGGAAAAAGCCGATGTCACCCATTCACCAACCACAGTCCTCAGTACATTTCATACGGGATGCTCATCAAGCCAGCTGCAAAGCCACTTACTAAAAATAATATAACAATAATAAAAAAAAAAAACATTAACATATAAATATTGTGAATAAAATAATAAAAAAAAATACATATTATTTTATAATATAATTAAAAAATACAAAATATATATAATATATGTATAAATTTGATATGTATAAAATAGATATGAACCTAATTAAAAATCACTAATAAAGCACTTAAGATCAAATTCTCTATCTATCCCCTTGGGAAACAAAGTTTGAAGCTCATGGATCCAATAGGACTCCCTTTTACTAAGCCCTCTTATCTTATTACTACCCCTCCAATTCTTTTTATATACTTCAATGCCCCAAAAGGTCAAACATGAGCAATCCTTATTGTGCACATCCAGAAAATGCCTGGAAACATAATGTTTAGGAAATCCTTTGGTAATATTGTGGACATGTTCTTGGATTCTATCTTTAAATATTCTTTTGTTGCATCCAATGTATTGAAGCCCACAAGGGCAGGAGAAACCATATACAACTCCCACTGTGTTGCACGATATAAAATCTTTGATCTGATATGACCTGCCTGTTACAAAACTACTAAAACTCTCCCTTCTTTTTTTCAAACACTTCACCCTTGTGCAGCTATAACACCATCCACAGGCATAAAAACCTTTTCCATTAAATAATGTAAAACCCTGCTTCTTGGAAGGGCCCACCACATTATGAACTAACTTATCCCTTAATGTTGGGGCTTTTTTGTAAATGAACCTAGGGGTGTCCATAAGAAGAGGACCAATTTATTTATCCAATTTTAGTATAGGCCAATATTGTTTCACAATCCACTCAACTTGTCTAAACTGGATATTATAAAAATAACTGGTACCCCTTCCATGGTGTTGGTTCTGTGGGTTTTATCCATAAGTAGGGACTCTCTATTCAGAGACCCAACTTCCTCCCTTGCTGTCTCGATAGAATCTGACTTGTAACCTTTGGCAATAAACTTGTTGGCCAATGCATGGGACTGAGTATTATAATCTGACTCGTAGCTACAATTCCTCCTCAATCTCATGAATTGGCCCCTCGGGACATTGATGAGCCAAGGTCTGAGGTGACAACTATGACATGGTATATATGCATTTCTATGAATGCTTTTAAAATAAGTGACCGTCCTGAAACCTTTTATATCTTTAATGAGTTCTAGATCCAAAAAATGTATCCGTGTAGAACTACATTCCCAGGTTAAACTAATATTCCTCTTATTTGTGTTCATCCTATTCATCATTACCTCTAATTCACTAATATTCCCATCCCATAGGATGATCAAATCATCTATAAACCTGCAGTACAGAGGGAGGGTGAGCTATTTGAAAAAACTTCTTCTTC